CCCCCTTGCTCTCTCTCTCTCTCTCTCTCTCTTGCTCTCTCGTGTTCTCTCTCCCTCGGGCTCCCTTTCCCCGCTCCTGCTTTCTGCTTCCCCAAACACCCTTCCTCCTCCCGTATCCCTCAGTATCCGATTTCTTTCTCCTAGTTATTTAACAGCCCCCTCCCCCCCTTCCACACTTTCGCTTCGCAGACGTCACGTCGCAAACACGCTGTGGACAAACCCGGAAGTCTAGCTTGTTTCATTCGATCATGGTGGCCGACCCTGTTCACTCGGTTCACTCTCCTTCCTCCGCGATCCCCGTTCTTCCTCGTTAAAATGTTCTTCTTTTCCAGGCCCAGAAGTACCTCCGCAACGCGAGCAGTTCGCGAATGGAACATTTCCGGCTGCTGAGCACGGGGTAAGTCGACCGAGGCCTCGTGCTTATATACGGTCAGATGCTCTAACTTCGGACTAGGGCCCTAAACGAACCACAGCTGATGTTGTCCGAAATTAGGACACTTGTGCTGCATGAATAAAATATTACAAAATGCAATTTGGTGATGTAAAACTGTCCACTACAAACTTTAAAAAAAAATTCTCGTCGTTAAAGGGTGTTTTCCACAGTGTCCGCCTCTTGTTGTCAGGTCGGCCGTGGGCGAGCTGAGCTTCCAGTGGATCGGGCCGCGTGCGGACGAGCCGCGCTACCGAGAGACGCTGTCGCGCTCGCATCAGCTCGGCCACCAGGGCGGCCCGGGTGCCAAGTGGCTCGAGGGGAACCACATGTCCCTCCGCGCCGAGCCCACCCTCCGCATGCTCGCCCTCTCCACCGCGGCCCCCTCCGTCCTGCTTTACAACACCTCGGCTCTGGGCAACAGCAGTGACGGCAACAGCAGCAACAGCAATAGTAGCAGAAGCAACAGCAACACGAGCCTCACCGTCGAGGCGGTGTCCGAGGGTGAGCCCTTCACGCTGACCTGTGTGGCCACCGGATCGACGAGCATCAAGTTCCACTGGGTCAAGGACGGGATGGTGCTCGCCGACAACGACACGCGTGCGAGCAGGTAAGCGAGGGTGCTCCAGCTGGGGCTTCGAAAGTCAAAAGCTGCTTTGTTTCTGGCACGGCCGTTTAACCCGCTGTTTCTGTGAGGTACTCGGTAACTCGGTACGCTCATCGAGAGAAATAAATCATTCAAATCTTATGTGTATGTATGTGGCTGATAGCAGGTGGATGTGGACGCGACTGGAGGACTTGGGAGGCGGCCGCTTTCAGTCGCAGCTGCAGGTGCGGTCCGCCGTGCAGTTGCACGCGGGCCGCTACACCTGCGGTGCGCAGGACTGGGAGAGCCGCAGCTGCATAGCCGTGCAGCTGCGAGTGCGGAGGGCGCCGCAGGTGCGGGTCGCGCCCATGGCCACCACCCTGCGCAAGGTGAGTGGGCTGGGCGGTTGACGCTCGGGCAGAAAGGAAAGAAAGGAAACCGGATCTTGGTCATTTTGCCACGGAAATTTATCTGGCCGCGAGGTGCTGCCGCGGGGTATGCTGTACCCACCCCCAACCTCTTTCCATCTCCTCTCTCTATCTCACTCTATCGCTCTCTCTCTCTTTCTCTCGCCCCCTTTGTTATCGCGCATGTGTGCGACCGCCCACCATAGCAGCCTGCCCGTGCCGGAACAAGGGATGGGTGAAACTGGGAATGAGGGAGGCTGGCTTGGCTGGTCCATGAGAGGCCGGGGCCCCGGCCCGAGGGCTGCGTGACGGTTAATACTCCATACGCGGCGGAGATGATGCCCCGTGAAGATAGGGCCGCGCCGGCACTACCGCTCCCCGGCGCTCCGCGGGGCCTCGTATCCGTGGGCCGCATGGGCCGCTACGGGAGCGTGGCGGATCCGCCCAAAACCCTCATGGAGACCATTTCCCCGCTGCCGACCCCCTGTGCGCGTGCGCGCGTGCATGTGTGGTTGACGTGTATACAAGGACAAGGCGTCGGGTCGCTGTAAGCTCGTTTCGGATGAAACCAGGACAGCCATTTCAGAGGAAATAGGTTTTTAGATCTATCTATCTATCTATCTATCTATCTATCTATCTATCTATCTATCTATCTATCTATCTATCTATCTATCTATCTATCTATCTATCTGCCCTGTCTGTCTGTCTGTCTATTCCCCTCTCCGGCCCGCCGAGCGCGCGCTGTGTTCCGCCCTCCGTGTCCAACTATAAACTTTGCTTCGTGTCCCTGCAGGGCGACAACTTGACGGTGACGTGCCTGGCGTTGGGGGAGCCCCTCGGGGACGCCTCCGCGGCGGGCGCGACCGGTCGGAGAGCGGCGGTCGGCGGTGAGTCGTTCGGCTTCACGTGGACGCGGAACCGCGCCTTGCTGCCACTGAGCCCGGGCAAGGAGGTCTGGGAGGATCTAGTGCCAGCTGGCTCGCTGCTCCGACTGTACAACGTCCGGCGCACCGCCACCTACTGCTGCCAGGTACAGCATGCTCCAAAGGATCCTAGTCTAATACTCCGTCATTAGCTCAAAAAAAAATTAATGTTGATATTTAAAAAACACAAATCATGAAAAACTTAAAATTTTAGATTTAGAAAAAAATTTCTGACCTTTCTTGTCCCTTGTGTTCGCAGGTGAGGGGCCGCACGCTGTCGCGCACGGCGTGCTCCGACGTCCACGTGGTCGGCGAGGCCCCGGGCGCGTCCGAGGCCGTGGACGCGGCGGCCGCCGGGGCGGTCCCGGTGTGCGCGGGCGGGGCCGCGGAGCTGGAGTGGCCCGACACGGCGGCGGGGGCCGAGGCGCGGCTGCCGTGCCCGCCGCAGTACACGGGGCGCGCCGCCGTGCGCGCCTGCGGCCTGGTGGACACGGGCCACCCGCGCTGGGGGCAGCCCGACTTCTCCCAGTGCGAGTCCCGCCAGCTGGCCGCCGTCCGCGAGCGCCTCGAGGCCGTGACGCTGGGCCTGTCCAACGCCAGCGCGGCCGGCGTGCTGTCCTCGGCCCTGTCGCTGGCCTCGGCCGCGCTGCGGCTCCCGGGCGAGGGCGGCGCGCTGCTGGGGCTGCTGCGCGGCGCGGCCCAGCACCTCGCCGACCTACCGCGCCCGCCGCCCACAGCGTCCACCGCGCCCGTGCTCGACGCGGCCAGCGCGGCCACCCAGGACACGCCGCCGTCGCCCAAGGCCTCGACGGCCGCCACGTCGGAGGCGGACCAGATCCGGAAGCTGTCCCTGGAGGGCTTGGACCTGTTGCTGCGGCGGCCTCGAGCACTCAATTCTGAGCAGGTGGGCTGTGGTGCTCCCGGAGGGACAAACCCGTCCCCATGCCTCTCCGAGCGCCTCTCCTCTCGGAGGCACGGCCGTTTCCGCCACTGGCAAAAACTGGAAAACTAAACGGTAGCTCCCGGAAGGGAGGCCGACTGTTCTTGGATGATAACGTTACGCTCAATAAGACCCGCAACATGACGCGCATTTTGTGAATTAATTCAGAATATACAACTTTTCCCATCAGAGTTTGAGAGTGTTGTTTCTTGTGTGCAGCACGTGGTGGAGATGCAGCGCCTGGCGCGCTCCGTGTCGCTGCTGTGGGCCGCGTCGCCGCAGGTGGCCGCCGGCGCCGCCGAGCGCCTAAGCCTGCCCGCCATGGCCGTGAGCGTGGCCAGCGTAGCACCCGACCCGCACGATCAGAGCATCAAGGTGCACTTCCCCGCCCCTGCCTCCAGGTAAAGATATTCTTCATTTCTTTCGTTTTTGGGAGGTCTAATGTCACTAAATCGATTTTGAGGATTTTGGGATCCGTGCGTCATCTGCGGTTACGAAACTGGCAAGTTTAGTCAATGCAAGGTCCCATAACGCCTAATAGGTAGGCAATGTCTTGCCTGTAGTGCATGCGTGTACTGCAGTGTGGTCTATCCCGAGTCTCGCAGGCGCCGACCTCTCAAATTGGCTGAATGATAAAAAGTATCTGAGACGATCCAAACTCACACGGCAGTGCGGATAAACGCGGACTTTATTTCCTACTTTCCATCTCCTAAACCCATTGTCGTATGCAAAAAAATATCTCAAATTTTGGATCATTCTGAAACAAATAATCTTCTTGAATTGAAAACTTTAAAAAATTTGGGGTGCGAATTTCACCTTTTCCCCACTTCCAGCGTTTTGATGGTGCCAGCCCATTCTGAGGCAGACAGAGATGAGGCAGAAGGTAGCATTTATTTATTCACGGCAGAAAATGAAAACTCATCTCACCTCGGCGCGCCTCTTCGCTCGCGGAGAGCTCTGCTATTTCTCGTCGCTGTCGCGTCGCTTTTCAAAACATACCGCCTTTCTCTCGTCGCCCGGTCCGCGCGGGCGGTCGGTCGGTGGAATGGACTGGAACAGTGGAGGGTGGTTCAGGCGGGACGAGCGGGGGAGCTCCTCGCACCGCGCGCTGCCCTCCCGTCGCAATGTGTAGCCGAGGCTGGCGCTGGCCGGGGATGACTGGTGCATTCAGGGCCTGTCCGTACGCCACTCGCGCCTTTGTTCGGCCGAGACGAGCGACGTCAAAACAGGACGCTTTGATCGCGCGGCACTGGATGGCCCCAGGAGGGAGGGGACTGGAGCTGCGTGGCGTGGAGCAGCCCCACTGGAAGCAGGCGACTAGCAGCCTCGCACCACTGCAACCGCGCTGTGCTGACTGGCTGTGAGCCACGTCACGAATGGCGCCCAAACCCCCCGCGACCCTGCTCTTGCTGGTTGTGCTAGGCACCAGGCACCAGATCCTGCAAGAGATAGAGAAGGGGGGAGGGGGGGTTATCGAGTTCACGGTCGACAGTGAGCAAGGCACTCGAAGTTTGCGGTGTGCGGCCCGAGCCTGAAGCTGTTGCTCGAATGACACTCCGTGTGCACGCTTTGATCCAGGTGGGCCGACTGGACGGAGGGTTTCGTGGACGTGGTGCTCCGGCTGGGTGCCGCTCCAGCCGGCGCAGCGGCTGACCTCGAGCAGGCAACGCAGGCCCCCAAGGACAACGCGACCCTGGCGGCCCCGGGGGCCGTGGGGCTGGCCGTCGTGGCGTACCGCAACCTTTCCAAACTGCTACCGGAGCGGCTCGTCATGAAGCAGGAGTGAGTACGAGGAGGGGACGCCGAGCAGTCAATAGAAATTTCAAAACTTGCATTTGCTGATGTTTTTCCAACAAAGAACTAAACTATGGAAATCTAAGACTATCCTGGAAACTGATTTATAGTTTTGATGAAACTAATTATATCTTCCAACTCTGCAGGAACGACGAGGAGCTGGAGATGGAGATTCACTCGCGGGTCGTGTCGGTGTGGCTAGGCACGTCGAGCGGGGCCGTGATCGCCGAGCCGCCGGAGGGCTTCGTGGCGGAGGCGTGGCTCCGCTCGCTGGAGGACGAGGAGGGGGGGCAGGTCGGCGGCGAGACGACGGGCGCGGGCCCCAGGGCGGACTGGGTGGAGGTGTGCGGGCTGACGTCCGAGGTGGGCGCGAGCTACACGGGCGCCTGGGACCTCACGTCCTGCGAGCTGCACCACGAGCCCGCCCTGCTCGGCCTCCACCAGCCCTCGACCAAGGTCACGGCTCCCCTGCCCGGCGCCGCCCAAGGCCAGAGCCCGGGCCTTGGACTGGGCCTGGGACTAGGCCCCAGCACCAGCCGCTGCACCTGCTCCAAGCCCGGCACCATCGCCCTCCTGCTCGTCGCGCACACCGCCAAGGTGAGGCCAAACTTATGGCGGAGGGACAAGGAAACAGCTGGGTTGTCCGTCCAGAATACACGAGTGGCGCTCTGCCACCCGTCCCCAACCGTGTCGAAAGCAAGTTGTGGTCGGGTTTAGCGTGTGCTTGTGCACTGTTGAATTCATGCAAAGCAATGCTTTGCGTAATCTTTGCATAATTGTGAAGGTTGGATGCTTCGTAACCACGAAGCATTTTCTTTGCAATTGCAAAGCGATGAAGCATGTAAAGCATTCGCTTCGGAACTTTGCAATTGCAAAGTAATATGATTCGTAGTCACAAGGCATCCAAATCCCTCGCGATTTGCAAATCGTCTGCTTCGTAGGAATTTAACAAGGTGTATGGCACCCGCTCGGGGAGCCCGCTCGGGGAGCCCCTGCGGGTCCTCGGGTAGGCCGTCCCGCACGGCAGGCGTGCGCGCGCCAGCCGCGGTTGCCTACCGCCGCGGCGCTCGACCGCGGCCTTTAACCTACCTACCCTCCCCCGTCCGCAGGCGCCTGCCGTGCCTGAGGCGTCGCCGCCGCTCGTGGTCGTGGCGGGCTGCGGGTCGTGCCTGCTGCTGTCGCTGCTGACGCTGGTGCTGCTGCTGCTGCGCTGCCGGCTGCGGCCGCGCGCCCTCTACCTCAAGCTGCAGTGCTGCGCCGCCACGGTGGCCGCCATGGCCGTGTTCCTGCACGCCGTGCACCGCCCGCCGCCGCCGGTAAGCAACTCTACTCGCGGTAATGAGCCTGTTTGTCTCGGCGCCGCGGTGCTCCCCCGACATAATAGCCAGCAGATTGCATCGGAGCAGTGCTGCTGCATTCGGGCTTTCGGTTGCAATAAAATGAGAACCTTTGAAGGAATCTTCGCTTCGGGTTGGTGAATGAAAAACTTTGGTGGCGTGGCTGTCTGTTGCCACCCCTACTTCCCCACTCCCTCCCTCCCTCCTCCTCCCTCTCGCCGCCCTACTCCTTTTCCCCGATAAGCGCAGAAAAGCGCGCGCCATTTCGCCCAGCTCCGCCACGCCGCCGGGCCCCGCTCCGCGCGGCGTCCCCACGGGGATCGTCTGCTGCTCTTCGCTGAAACAACACGAACCGAATCGCGGGAGGCCAGGCCCGGGCCAACCCCCCGCCGCCCAGCGCCGCGCCACCTCCGCAAACCCCCCTCAAACGGTTTACTGCCTGGCGTCGTCGGCCCCGCACTGCCTCCCCTCATCAGGACGATCCGCTGCTCCGATTCGGCTTGGTCAGCACCCACCGCCCGCGGGGCGAAGCGAGAGGGCGGGGCGGAGCGGGGCGGGGCGGGGC